AAAATATTGGTACCAGTAAAAGGGTGGATGAATTGTATCTATGCTCTTATGGCTGTAAACACTATTCTTATTAGGTACATAATAGAATGTGCATCATCGCATCCTCGTGTGGATTTAGGAAATGTATTGGGAACTATTACTCAGTGTAGTCTTTGAACAGGACGTGCCGTGCATACCCTTAAAGCTGGCAGGATTTCTGTGGCCTTTGACTCATTTTTGAGAACTCATTCCTTTTTTTTTCTGCCTGAATACCTCTTCAAGAATTCACCAAGAAATGTTGAAGACAATAGTTATTGAGAATGTTCTGTACTGTGGTGATAAGTACATGATCAGACTTCTGATTCCTCTCCAGTTCTTTAGGAAAACCTGCCATAGATCTGGTTAAGCTGAGAATGTAGGGTCAACCTAAAGCTTCAATTTTCTCCTTTTTTTTTTTACAAGACCCCTCACCCATTGCACCACCAGAACAATGCAGCCAAATATCATTGTTGTCAAAAATAGAACGACGTAACCATGCCTGCCTCCGGCTCTTTGTGTGTGCTGGTACTTATGGTAGCTTTGTTTCTGTTAGAAGGGGACTGTCTTTCACCCCAGCCTGAGCCTTCTTCCTGTTGATTGACGCCACCGCGGTCTAAGTCTGCACTCAGGTCACCATGGAGTAACACTTTCACAACAAAAGTGTGATGATATCCACTTCCTCACAGTTGACTTTGTGCATATATTTAGATTTATATCCATGCAATGTCCTCGAGGAAACATTTCTTCTGTTTATTTAACTGTTTTGTCATAGGAGCAAATTAGCTAGAGGTCAATTTATCATATCTTTGCTGCGGCTGTGACAATGCCAGGACTTGTGTAATAGGTCTATGGGCAGCGTTCAATCTGTTTTCTATTGTGTGGTACTGTCTTATCAATATGTACACATATACTGCTATGCTTATACCAGAGACCGCAAGAGAGCGGTCACACTGCCACGTCACTATCATTACTTTTAAACCGCTGTTTCCCAGTTTTATGAAGCTGAGGAAACCACTTCCATTAAGTTCACATCAACTTAAAGAACAGGTACACATTTTTTCAAGCCTGTCTTAAAACTATACTCACAGGCCCATATGTATATTTAAGAGTTTCTGGTAGCTGCAGTTGTTCCTCCTGTTCATACTGGCTGTAAATAAGGCTACATCCACAGTAATATGTTTCAGTTTAAAACCAGGGTTTTAAAGCAAAAACGATCTACGCCCGCATAGGCGTTCCGGCACCATTTTCGAAATCTTTCATTGCTGGAAATCGCTCCAATAACAGCGTGCCTCCTCTGCATGTAGGCAGTAGTAGCATTATAAAATACAGAATTTAACTGCACAATAGCTGCTAGTATAGACAACAAGGTCAGCAACGCCTGTAATCCGTTATCCATGTTGAATTAAACACTGGTCGTCGATCTGTATTGAAGGCTGTTTCTTCCAGCGACATGGCGGATTAGGGAAGGACACGTTGTGACTGCTATCAAGCAGCAAACGCGGATGTCTACGTCATCGTTTTCAAAGGTCTTCGGTTTCTCCGTCCACACTACGGACTCTACCCCAGAGTTTTCAAACTAGCACGCCGTCGGTAGCATTTTCGAACCCCTCAGTCTTTGGGCTTATAAAACTAGTGTGGACACCAGGCATAAACGTAGAGGCGTTTTTAAAATGGAAACTTAGTGGATGTAGCCTAAATCCCCTCCTTACCTGATTCTAATGGAAGAGTACAAAATCCACAGTCCATTGCAGTTAAATGTTGTGCGGCTGGTCCGAGTGCCTCTGCATGAAACTCTGAACTTTTCATAAAAAATGCTGGTGACATTTGGTAAAAAATGGAGGGGAAGCTTGTTTTTGAAGCGTGTCTTTCTATCCTGAACTTGACTCTAAATGTTGCTGGTGAGTGGAGTGCTTTTATTGCCGTACGCCTTGTCAGAATGATCGTTGACGACCTCATCTATACAAAGTATATGTGAACACAGGCCCTGACTCAGGCCTGTTGCTCGTTGTGACAGGCTCCACAAACACATGTGTGCACCTACAAACATCTGCATTTATGTTATTGTAGCCAGCATGCAGACGTGGTGCGTGCTTCTCGAAGTTTAAAACGTTGCACCGCTTGTTCTTGATGATTGGCTCGTTGGTCTGTGGAACTCATGTCTCAATCACTTCCTTTTCCGCTTTCTTCTAAAACTATAACCCGATAACCAACGGATTTATAAAGAGCAGAAGAAAAACAAGTGGAAGACGGCGACATGCTGTACAGCTGCTTTTCCTGCGTCTGCTTCAGCAGCCTTCCCATGCACTTGTTGTGATTTGTTCACAGGCCACTACACTGTTGGAGAGTAAGTCCCACAGGAACTCATGCAAATATGCACACAATCATTGTTCTTCACACTGCACAGGGTTATGGCGCATGCTGACAGTTTCAATCATATCAAGTTGGGATCTTTCAAAGTTAAGTCTTTTTATCTCAAAATATAAAATCTGGTATTAAGTATTATGAACTATAATATATTACTGCACTAAAATCACTTTGGAAGATGCCCCTTTGCTTTGACTTAATAAGCCTCATATTAGCTGCAGTTCAACTTTTAACTGCATTTTTGCACAGAATGAATCCTGTGGATTTTCCCCATCATGTATACATGAATCCTATCAGGAGGGATCTCTTCAGGACCGGTGTGGACAGGACTCAGTAGGAACGATTACAGTGAACACTAAATCTTTCAATGTACATATGAGCATATGTACAGTGAGACCCACTTAAAAGAATGTCCACCTATCTTTTAAACTGTCTTCGGAAGAGAGGTGAGCTGATTGTGTTCCCAATTACTGAGAGAAATCCCCCCCGACTGTAAAGGGGAATTTTTTTTAATTGAGCTATTTTGTTCTATTGGTGTGATGGGGGCTTTCTTCCATATCTGTGCATCCACCTGTTTTACCCCGTCATGAACTACTGTCTACTGTAGGCCAGACTAATCAGGATCGCTTTCCCAAAACTGCTACTCCTAAAAGGAATTACAGTGGTTAATCTATCGCTTTAGCTGACTCTCACAGACCGGCCTCAGAGCCAAGTCTGGCTGCTTTACTGACTCCACTTCCATCGGCCCGACACCGGGAGCAGTGAGCCGCCTCTGCAGCGGCTGATCTCAGTCGTCTTAACCAGATGCCATGGTGCTCCTCGAACATCTCAAAGAACCAGCCGACTTATCACGATGCAGACAAGGCACATAGGTAAAGACACAACAGCTCACTTTGGGACTGTTGTTTGGGTTTTGGCCATGACGACCTATGACCCGCCCTGCTATTGAAACTCAAGTGTTGCTTTAAGTTGCTTCACATTATTTCGCGGCTTAAACTGATGTCAGCCGCTGTGTATAAATGACAGGATATTATCCCCACTGATGGGTAATGTAGCTAATGGCTGTAACAGTGTTTGGGCTGTAATAAAAAAGATATTAGCAGTTAATGTTCCCCTGCTGTTTTGGTGTGATTTCCCTTGAATGCAAGCCATTGTGTGCTGATAGCCTATCTCTCTTGAGTTCAATTTAAGAGGAAATTAATGTTTGGCTCTTTTGGATTGCTTCCTTCAGCGGGGGCTATTGTCGCTGGCTAGCTTCTGCGGGAGAGTAGTCATTATCCACCGCTGGCTAACATTATATCACGTTATATCTTAGCCGGCAGACACCTCTGTGAGCTATATCACTGGCTGCACAATAACCAGGTTAGCATGTATCAATTGGATTTGAGTGAGGTTTATTGGGCCACAGATATTGCTTGGTGACAGCTTGTTGCAGAGAAGCACACTTGGCAGCATCGATCAACAGACTGCGTGAGATGCAGGAAGTGGGGACCTCACATAGGGAGGCAGTAAAGGCGACACTGTTTGTTTTTCTCTCAACCACATGGACAAAGATCGGCCCAGTGACCTTTAACTGCAGCTGGATATCTGATGGGCGGCTTCGTGTGTGTTTCAGAGAGGGTCACATTCAATATGAAGGATGCCTCTGGTTTCTCCCGGGGAGAATGGCGCCCTTTGTCCTAGAGACCCCAGGGACATGGGGCATCTGAGGGGAGATTTAGGAGTTAGTGAGGCTTGTATGGGTGCTGTCCTAGAAGCCTGACTAGAAGACCAAGGTACCCCTGTCAGATATGAAGGATCCACCCTTTGATCCCCAGTCCCTCCTGATGCTTAACTGAAGAAGCAATAGAGGCCTGAGCAGTGGAATGAACAGGAGGCTTTCATTCACGCTTTTGTCTGTAGACTCTGTCCGTCTGGGTGCATGTCTCTGTGAAGGGCTGCTCTCCTCCTCGCCTGTCCATCACAATAAGCCTTTTGATTCCTTAATGGGGGTGGGGTCAAAAGAAGGGGGATGAGGACATAAGGTAACTTGAAAGGGGATGAAGTTGGGAAAAAGCACCTGCAGTCTGTCGGAGCCCGGTAAGAAAATGAAAGGCGTGTGTTGCCTCAGAGATTTGAACGTGTTTGTGTTACTACTCTGGTAGCTTTCATAGTGAGCTGTGTATGATACAACAACCTCCTACTCGTGTGTGTGTGTGTGTGTGTGTGTGTGTGTGTGTGTGTGTGTGTGTGTGTGTGTGTGTGTGTGTGTG